AACTTTCATCCAGAAGGAAGAAAAACATACTAACTAGCTCTTCTCCGACCCTGCCGGGGATTGTAAAAATGGAAGAAGTTCAGAAAAGACCCTCAGCGTCTGTGCTGTCTTTGGAAACTGGGTGCCACCTTTGCCACATGGAAGACTAGTTAAAAGGTTGTTCCTCTACAGTCCTAATCTCACATGATACTCTTTTCGATGGAAGTAATTTGTGAGAATGTAACGGCATATCCCTTTGTAAGGCTTACCACATCAATTTTTTCAAAAAAAAAAAAAAAAAAAAAAAACAGTGCGAAGTCCTTTACCAAGTCACACATCACAATTTAGAATTTGGAAAGTATGTTAGCTTTTGCTGGATGGAGGGCGGGGAGGGTGTCCCTCCCACACAGCTACACAGGGTACTTCTTACTGCATTCCCATTGACATTTCCATCGTTCTTTAAGAAAAGGCTCATGAAATTTTCTCCAAGGCAGGTCAATTTTTAAGCAATTTCGAGTGAAAACAATGTCCAACAGACCTATAGTTGTGGTAGTTCAAAAGTCTGTACTCAGCTGGGTGTGGTGGTTCACACCTGTGATCCCAGCAATTTGGGAGGCTGAGGCCGGAGGATCACCCGAGTCCAGGAATTCAGGACCAGCCTGGCAACGTAGTGAAACCTTGTCTCCACAAAAAATTTAAAAACTGGCTGGGCGCAGTGGCTCACGCCTGTAATCCCAGCACGTTGCGAGGCCGAGGCGGGTGGATCACGAGGTCAGGAGTTCAAGACCAGCCTGGCCAAGATGGTGGAACCCCATCTTTACTAAAAATACAAAATTTAGCTGGGTGTGGTAGCATGCACCTGTAATCCCAGCTACACGGGAGGCTGAGGCAAGGAACTGCTTGAGCCTGGGAGGCGGAGGCTGCAGTAAACCAAGATCACACCACTGCACTCCAGCCTGGGCGACAGAGTGAGACTCCATTTCAAAAAAAAAGAATTAGCCAAGTATCGTGGCACACACCTGTAGCCTCAGCTACTTGGGAAGCTGAGGTGGGAGGATCGCTGGAGCCCAGGAGGTCAAGGCAGTGAGCTATGATCATGGCACTGTACTCAAGCCTGGGAGACAAGGGAAGTTCCCATTTCAAAAAAAAGAAAAAAAGCCACCAGGTTTGTTCTTCAGTAGGTTGCTAGAACCAAGACCGTAATCCGCCATAGAACTAAATGGGGGGAGTCTCCAGATGAGATTGTGACATACTAATTCTCAGGAACCCTAAGTTCATGAGCACCAAGCCCCAGGTCTCCGTGTCCTCTGAATACTGGGCCTGGTAAGGCTGTAAAGGGAGGGGAAGTAGAAGGGGAAGGAAATGGCTTCTCACTCAACAGCCTCAACAGTGAAGACACTGAGCAAGGGTTCTGGTAGCATTCATGGAGGAAACTTTAAGTCCATAATAGAAGCTTAATAAATACCTGATGATTAAAACAATTCTGTTCAACTACTAGCCATTGGCCTTCGTCTGTGCCAGGCACTGTGCTGGACACTGGAAATGTAAGCAGCACATTGTATGAGGATGAGGTGTGTACGCTGAGTGTTTAAGAGGGAGCACAACTTCCGTGGCTGCCCCTACCTGAGCAGCTTCTTAAATGTGTATGTTCACATTTGTATACAGACCTATGCTTTCTGCTCCCTAAGTGGTCCAGATGAGCACCCCTGTAACAATTCTCAACCTCCTGCACAAGTCCTCTAGGAGCCCATCTAAGCAAAGCAAGAAGACCCTCAAATGCCCTGAGTGGACAGACAGGCCAAGAGAAGCTGCATGGAGACCGACCCACCGGTAGTCAAGATGAAGTCAAATCTGGCAGGGCTGGCAGGCAGCTGCCGCGTGGGTCTGCAACAGAGAGCCCCCCGCAGGTGGTCAGGAAAACTCGCGATGGTTTTGGGGAAACTGTAACAAAGAACTCTTGCTGGGGTCTGGTTGGGTTCAGGAAGTTAGAAGTTTTCACACATCCTGATGCCCTGAATCCCAGCTGTACATCAATGGCAACAAAAATAGGGAGAAAACGAGCCATTCGGGCTTGTGTGGAAGGCCCAGTTTTGTCTGCTTATATCTGAAAGTAATTGATTTCTCCCAAGTGGTCCATTTCACACTTATCATATCACAGTTAATCAGATTCATAACCCTAACACACTCTCTTAAGACTGCCCTCTTTAAACAAATGCCACTGGGCTATCCACTGTAAACAGCAATGTTGAGGCTGTCCTACCATCCGTAAGACATAACTTAGAGTTGTTTTTCTAGTCCCATAGTATGCTCAGTCATTCTCACTGGTTTAGTCCCTCCAGGCAATCCATTAGGAGTAAAATGAGAGTCCAGAGAGATCTTCATCTCAGATAGGGTAGGAGAGAGCATGGGCTATACAAGAGAAGACTGGAAAAAGCTGACTCAAGTAAGACAGGGATTCTTCCCTTGACATGGAAAGGCCATTACAGACCTCGGAGAAGTTTCAGCAAGCCGTGCTGCTCTTTTGGACTATCTCTCCCAACTAGCTCTTAGACGAATAGGGTGAGGGAGCAACTGGCAGCCCTATATAGTGGTGACCTGCCACTGGGTCCCAGACACCACAGCCAGCTGTGGCAAGACCGCACATGGCTACAACCAACAGCCACTGGCTCTGTTTTTCTGACCCAAGAGGCAACCCGGGCCACATCAAAAAAGAGGATGATCAGTTAATACATTCATTTATCCTGGGCTGTCTGTGCTGTTTCTGGCACATCCAGCCTGAAAGTTCTCAAGCTTCTTCTCCAGCTATCTATATTCCCCTCCAGAAAGTAGGCAACTGAGAGGGAGAGCCTTTGTGAGTGCCCTGTGTGTACATGTCTGTTCAGTACTTAAGCCTCTCAGGAGCCCCTTAGGTATCGGAGGTGGCAGTACGTTCGCCCTGACATGGAGTCCTGATATGCTTCAAAACACAGGTCTCTACCTTTCTTCCTTCCTCAATCCTCTCAGAGTATTTGCTCAGGATGTCAACTGTGTGAGGTCTTTATCTTACATATCAAAGAGCCTGGCACCAATTAAGTCCATAATAGAAGCTTAATAAATACCTACTGATTAAGAAATTCTATTCAATTAATAGCCACTGGCTATCCTCTGTGCCAGACCTTGAGCTGGACACTGGAAATACAAAAATGAACCATCAGACTCCTGTCCTCAGCAGGCTTTCAGTCTAGTGTGGATGATAATTCAAGGATAACTGGATTGTTGCCAATAACAGAAGCAAGTTCAATGAGCTGTGGGAACACTGTGCCCAGCAGCAACAGGGAGGCTTGAGAAATGGACTTCCAATGACAAATTGGCTGCCAGGCAGAAAGAAGATCGAGGGAAGATTCCAGGTGTAAGTGTTCATTACATGGGCTGGGCATAGGGGCTCATGCCTATAATCCCAGCACTTTGGGAGGCCGAGGTGGGTGGATCACTTGAGCCCAGGAGTTTGAGACCAGCCTGGACAACATGGTGAAACCCTGTCTCTACTAAAAATACAAAAATTGGCCTAGTGTGGTGGTACGTGCCTGTAGTGTCAGCTACGCGGGAGACTGAGATGGGAGAATCACCTGAGCCCAGGAGGCAGACGTTGCAGTGAGCTGAGATTACTCCAGCCTGGGCCACAGAGCGAGACCCTGTCCCCCCAAGAAAAAAGTTCATTATGTGGTTGGAACATAATGTGGAGATGATACTAGAAAGGTAGGCAGTAAAGGGCCTTGCAGGTGATAAGAAGCTGGGGTTCATGCTACACTGTGGTGTGAGACAGAGAGTGACAAGATCACATTGTTTTTATCTGCAAAGAATCATTCCAAGTTGTGTTGGGGGTGGGGACAAAATGGAGCTGGGAAGATCAGAGAGGAGACAACTGAAAGGTCCTGGGCCAGAAGGAAGGCAGTGACAGCCGGTGTGGAGGAGAAGCCAAGTGTGCACCAGACTGCCTGGCAGGCTGGGAAAGACAGCACACCTGCCCTCCCAAAGCTTCCATTCCAGTAGCAGTAAGCAGCAAAAACTGGAAGAGTCTGTTGGCGTATTGTGGACCAAGCAAGGGTCACCGTTTGCTGACCTTAGCCCTGGATGGCTTTTGTGGCAGCGCTGGCTTTAAGTTGGCCTTAGAAGACTGACAGAGAGGTGACTTGGCAGAACCATTCATGTACTACCCTTCTTTCGGCGATTCTCCCCTGTGATTCGTATCCTGGTTTTATTTAGCCCTATCTTCATAAGACTCTTAGACGGATTCTTGTAACAGAAACCTCCACCCAGAAAAGCTGCCATCTCCTCTCATATTAACCCCACTCATCAACATCTCTTGGCAGTTTCTGACTTAGATGGGACAAAAATAAATAAATAAAAGCAATAATAATAAGACTCTGCCAGGCTAGCAAACTGATCCAGTCAGAGGATTATAAGAGACACCTGTTTTTCAATACAGCAGCTGCTAACACAGCAGAAGCATGGCATCATAGTAACAAGAAAGAGTTCTCTTCCATTAAAAACCCAGTAGTAGCAAAAACTGGCATGGACTGATGTTCAACTATGTCACCTGAATGTGAAAAGAAGTTCAAATAAGACTAGACACATAATAGGAGCCCTGCTTTGCCAATGTGGGAACTCAAATGCTAGTTTGTTGATGGGGAGGTGGTTTACCTATTCATCCAAGCACACTAAGGCACAAATCCTTAAAGCGGCTATTATATACTTAAGAGTGTTATCAAAAACATACTGAAGCTTTTTGAAGTTTGGTTGATTCATACCCTGTGGCTGACCAAACACCTCTTCACTTAAGCCAGCTTAAAAAAAAAAAAAAAGTACTGCCCAGTTTGGAATGTAGACACTAACACAGGAGCAAATAAACAACACTTTAAATTATTTTTTCAGTTTACCACTGAAGGCAGACAAGACACACACACACACATACATACACAAAACCTACCAACATATAAACACCACAGGCAAACTATCTCAAATGTACAATATGTACACATTACCTTTTCAGACCAGACCACGGAGATGCTTTTAGAAACAGCTTGTTAACAGCCCCTCACATTGCTGTTTAACAATCCGTTTATAGCCCATCACAAAGCCAAGCCTCCAAGGAGATACATTTTACATCTATGTTAGGTTTCTTCGCCACAACAAGGCTGGATTTTGTGTCATCTTTTCCTCTATATGCCAGAAAACAGATGATGCCATAATTTCTGCAACTTATCATCCCATGAGCATGCAATACATGTGGCATATATGCAAACAGATCACAAGCAAACCCTGGAATAAATGCAGGACGGTGCCCAAGAAAGCACAAGCCACTCCAGATAGGCCCGACTAAAGCTAAAAATAGCCCATAAAGGCATTGTGTCAGCTACCCTCTCACTGTCCTCCCTAGAGCATGCTAATTCTAACCTCCAGTGTTGGTGCTTGAGTCTGAGCCTTTGGTAGCTGTACCTAGGAACCTTTCCCTAACCCAGGAAGCTACTTTCTAGGTGTTGGAGTATGGAGAAATCGTTCCATGTACTTCAATTATTAGTCCATTCATGCACACAAATGCAGATAAAAGACTGAACCTGAAATCGTGCATTTTCTCCCAAAGCCTGACGTTTGTGCCCTGGGGCACTAGGACCAGCTGAGAGATGTCCCTTTTGGCAAATGGTGCAACAGAAACCTCTCAAGCGCTAAGCACGCTCAACTGCCCAAGAACCACCCGGCCATCAGGACTAACTCTCGCCTTACCCTGGCCAGTGTGCAGCAAGAAGTTTCCCAAAGAAGCACAATCTGGTCTACACAGACCCCACTTGAGGTCCCAAAAGATTAAAGGGAGTGCACTCTCATAATATGAGACCCTAGGAAGAATCACAGACACCAATTTGGGGACCAGGGCTGTGAAGAAAATTCTTTCCAATGATCTATTTGGCATTTAGTCTGACAGAAATATGTGCATAAAGGAAGGGTAACTGGGTTTTCCCAAACCAACCTCTGCAAGTCATCCAAAAATGCACCCAAATAAGAAATAGGCTGTGTTGTGAACTCACATTCACCTATAACCTACATATAAGCCAACCAAGAGGCGGGAAGACTATATTCTCATCCACCCACACCTCCTCCATGGTGAACCTTCAAAGACCACAGCTGAAATGAAAATGTACACAGACCAACTTTCCCTTAAATCAGACTGTTGAACATGACAGCTAACAACAAACGCACACACAGACATTCCCCCTAGTTCAGAGAAGCTCCATTTGGCCATTTTACCAAGTTTTTCAAGACAGAGAAATTCTCAGAACTGGCTACTGTTCGTGACTTGTGCCACTGGGCCCACCTCTTCCCTCTTTGCTGGAATAACAAGGCCTTTCAGTGGGACCTGCTGGCTCCCCTACCTTTCTTCCTTCTTGCATTCTTAAGGTTTTTTTCCACTCTGGGGCCTTATCCCACATCTCTCCCAGTGGGGCAAACTGTCTCGCATCCAAAAGGTAAGTAAACATACTGCTGTCCATGTCAGTGGCTCCTTGTTCATTTTCTAAGGGTAGGTGGCTTCAAAAAGATAAAGTGTTGGGAAGGGTGGGAACATGCAAGACAGGTGTACTACCAGGTGCCCTAGTTGAGATGTCACCTAACACCTAGGTCCCTTTGCTCATTGCCCTGCCCGTCTCGGCGAAACTTGAAGATACTCTTACAGCACGCTGCAAAAGATTAGAGGATCATCACTCCAGCCTTCCTGCGCTCGCCAACATTCCCCCTGGATTCCATGGTGTTCCAAAGCCACATCTGATCTACAGCTGACTTTTGCCTGCAGAGAAGCACACCCTCACCTCCTCACTCACAGCCCTGCCAGACACAAGGAGCCTCGGAGATGCAAAGAGGCAGAACACAAAATTCAGAAAGGGAGTCTTTGTTTCTTCGGTTCTCTGAGGGAAAACACTCTTACCTCACCAACTGGTATGCTCTCTCCTTCCACCTCACCCTAAAGTATTAGCGTCAGCAGACGAAGGGAAGGACTAAATGGCACAAAGTCAAAGGAGCTGGCTGCTGTCCAGGGGACTGGAGGTGTAGTCAGCCAAATCAGGTCATTCAGGTCTCAAAGTCGGGGAGAACAGGAGACTTACTCAGCCTGAGGAATCTGTGTTACCCAGACTTTATCCCCAAAACAACAACTCCCCCACTGGCTTCACCCTGCTTTGAACAAAGACCAGATTAAAAGGTGCAAAGTGAGAGTGTCCTGCTGTCCCCAGCCATCGCTGGCCATGAGTGGCAGTCAAGACCTATTAGTCAGGAATGGGTCTCAAAACTGCAAAGCACCAGTCAAGCGAACTCATGACACAGATCTTCAAAATCTCCCAGATCTCAAGTTAAAACGAGGACAAAATGGCCGGGCACAGTGGTTCATGCCTATAATCCTCGCACTTTGAGAGGCTGAGGTGGGAGGATCACTTGAGCCCAGGAGTTCAAGAGCAACCTGGGCAACAAAGCAAGACACTGTCTCCACAAAAATTTTTTTTAAAAAGTAGCCAGGTCAGCCAGGCTTGGTGGCTCACGCCTGTAATCCCAGCACTTTGGGAGGCCGAAGCGGGCAGATCACAAGGTCAGGAGATCAAGACCATCCTGGCTAGCATGGTGAAACCCTGTCTCTACTAAAAATACAAAAAATTAGCCGGGTGTGGTGGCAGGCGCCTGTAGTCCCAGTTGCTGGGGAGGCTGAGGCAGGAGAATGGCTTGAACCCAGGAGGCAGAGCTTGCAGTGAGCCAAGATCGCGTCACTGCACTCCAGCCTGGGCGACAGAGCAAGACTCCGTCTCAAAAAAAAAAAAAAAAAAAAATGTAGCCAGGCGAGGTGGTGCACCTGCAGTCCTAGCTACTTCAGAGGCTGAGGCAGCACGATCACTTGAGCCCAGGAGTTTGCGATTACGGTGAGCTATGATCATGCCACTGTACTTCATTCAGCATGAGTGACAGAGCAAGACCTTAAAGAAAAGAGGATACAGCAATTACAAAATGCACCACGAATCCAATCCTTCAGATATGCCATTTTTCCAAAACCTGTGACAGGGACTTGGGTTACGAGTACCCAAACAGGCCCAAAGAAAAAGAACTCAGCTCTGTCCCTTTGGGTGCCTGGCCTGTGATCCCAGGTCAATACATGAAAATAATTAGTGAAACCACAGAGGCGAGCCAAGAGACACTACAATGAGGCTTACTCTAGCAGGAGTCTGATTTGATGGCCAAGGGCAGTTTGGGAAAGAAAAATGGTCTAGAAATAACAACCAATAATAAATTTGAGAGAAGTTCCCTAGTCCAAGTTCTTTAAAGCAGTTAACAAAAGAGCTTAGCAAATTCCCGCCATCTCCCCCATCTCCCTTTTTTTTATTTATTATTATTATTTTTTGAGACAGAGTCTCACTCTGTTGCCCAGGCTGGAGTGCAGTGGCACAGCCTCAGCTGACTGCAATCTCTACCTTCCAGGTTCAAGATATTCTCCCGCCTCAGCCTCCCGAATAGCTGGGATTACAGGTAGGCTAATTCTTTGTATTTTTAGTAAAGACAGGGTTTCACCATGTTGGCCAGGCTGGTCTTGAACTCCTGACCTCAGGTGATTCACTCGCCTCGGCCTCCCAAAGTGCTGGGATTACAGGTGTGAGCCACTGCACCCTGTCCCATCTCCCTTTCTATGAAGTCTCCATAATAGTTTCTCCTGTATACCCTAGTGCAGATCTACCTGTCCACATATTAGTCACTAGGCTTGAGACCATACTCATTCTAAATTATCTCTTGACTTTGATTTTTTTGTTGATATATAATAGTTGTACATATCTTGGGGGTACACGTGACATTTTTATATCTGTGCAGATGTGTAATGATCAGATCAGGGTAGCTGGCATATCCACTGCCTCAAACATTTTTCTTTTGTGTTAGGAACATTACAATTCTTCTCTTCTAGATAGTTTGAAATACACAATAAATTATTGTTAACTCTTAATTTCCCTACTGTACTAATGAATAAATACTATACCGTATTCCTTCTAGCTAGCTGTGTTTTTGTGCCCCTTCGCCAACTTCTCTTCATCCCTTGACCTTGATTCTTCAGCAGAGACCCCGGCATTCTTCCAGGCCACACCTGCAGTGAGGTGGGCAGATCTGGGCCCTCCCTCTTCCTTCCTCACCTCATAGCAGTGCCAGAACTTCCACTGCCACAACCTAGATTCACACTTTCACAACCTAGATTCACACTTTCACTAGGGAAACAAGAGAAAGTACTGGGGGAATGGTTAACTTCAGAGACAGGCTGTTCTCTGGGGTTCGATTTTTTAAATTACGAGCCTTATTTCTATCTGTAGCTCACTTTTTCCAGGAAATGCTTTAGCATGTCACCTTTGGCTGTGGCATTCTCACGTATAGGGGACGTAAGTGAAGCAGGATTACTGACCTCATCAAAGAGATAAGTCCTGAGAAAGATAAAGTTACACGGCATGTCATAACCCAAGGGAGAGGGGACAGGGCAGCTGAGAAGAAAATCACAAACTTCCACTTGTGGTGTCCAGGAGGACATCAGAGGAGCAGTTTCTCTCCAAACCTAAACTCTTGCTTCAAGAGTATGAAGTAGCCCACACTTATTTCGTGGGGGTAGGAGGGAGAGGTAGGTAACATTTTCTCCACGATTCCTCAAAAAAGGGTCATTTGCCAGTGTATGGTTCATCTTCTCATTTGCTATGTACATACAAAGAATGACTTAGGATCCAACTTAGGTCCACAGCAAGAAGAATACAACTGCTGAAAAGACACTTCGGTGCCCTCACATCTGCTAGAGAGGAAGGTTTCCCCATGCCCCAAAGTAACAAATTTGGCCTTTTCAAACTCTTCTGTATAATTTAACTTCCACGAAGGGCCATCTACTCCCCGCTCTTGAAAGTGAACATTGACCAGCCCACAGCGAACAGCGTCTGTTCTGTGGTCAGACAGACATGGAACTGCCTGTTAAACAAAAGCAGACTGGAGAATTGATGCTCTCTTTCAAGTCTCACCCCAGTCACAAATAATAAGCAACTGTATGAAGGAGCCGATCCCTGAATAGGTTCAAATACTTGAGCGCTGAGTAATAATGCTAGTTAGACTCACTGTACAGTACTTCCAGACTTAGGTTTTTTTCCTTTTCTTTCATCTCTGGAAACTTACTCAGAACCAGATTAGCTATTCCTTCAAAATTCTGCTGTAAGATGCAAAAGGCATTTGCTATTATCATATAATTGCACTTGGCTCATCTCTCCTATTGTTGAGGCTTGTATTCAATTAAAGCTAAAAGAAGAGCTTTTTTGAGCACTGACTGAGTGACCCCAGCCCTGTGAACAACTCAATGGGATAGTGACAAGAGCACTGTGCAGGGAGTCAGCTGACTCAGGAGGCCTAGATTTTAGTTTAGATGGCACCACCAACCAGCCACAGGAGCATGAGCAAGGCCATTAACATCCCTGGCTGGGGGCTGGGGACGGCGGCTCACGCCTGTAATCCCAGCACTTTCGGAGGCTGAGGCGGGAGGATCAATTGAGGTCAGGAGCTTGAGTCCACCCTGGCCAACATGGTGAAACCTCATCTCTACTAAAAATACAAAAATTAGCCAGGTGACTGGTGCACACCTGTAATCCCAGCCACTTGGGAGGCTGAGGCACCAGAATCGCTTGAACCCGGGAGACAGAGGTTGCACTGAGTTGAGATCTCGGCATCGCACTCTAGCCTGGGTGACAGAGCGAGACTCTGTCTCAGAAACAAAACCAGAAACCATCCCCTGGCCTCTGTATTCTCAACTGCATAATGTGGGCACAGAACCAGAAAATCTCTAGCCTCTTCCAGATCCACGTGTTATGGAGGATGTACAAAGGAGGAGGAGCACTAACGTTTTAGCAGTTTAAAGCACTACATTAGGCAATGTACATATCCCAACAACCCTAAGAGACACACATTTTTATTACCACTTCAGATGAGTTAACAGGTTCATGATTAAGTAACTTGAACAAGTTCAAGTTCAGGAACCAGGAGTCATGGGTCTGTCTACTCCACTGTCTATGCTCTTCCCCTGGAGCATCCACAGCACGGCAGTGAGGTAGAGCCCTTTTCTGAGCACCTTACAACCCCCTTACGGGAAGTCAACTTGACAGGTAAGAACCAAAGAACATAAGACAGAACAAAATGCAAGTCAAAATCGAAAGACGTAGTGATTGGATCTACACTGTGGCAACACGAACACTACTGAGCACACCCACCAACGGCACCCAGCAGGGCAACGCGTCCTTTCTGGGTCATTCAGGAAATGAAGTCGTTTTCCATACATCTGACTCCCACATACAAAGGGAAAATACCCCCAGGAGGCCATCAGGCCTCAAGCCTGCAAGATGCATTGGCTACCTCTTTTGTGTCTTCATGAGGGAGTACTTTTCATAAATCAGTCATCCACATAACTGAAGCTTAGCCTTTTAAAACTTAACATTATTCTTATGCCAACCATTTTTGTTAGAAATCTTTCCAAAATACATTGCATTCTTTCTTCACTTCTGAAATCTCATAACATGAACTCTGGCTTTCACTTGGAAGTCACAATGATGAACACTAATATCAAGTCATGTGAATCTGCAAAAGCAAGCTATGCTTTCTGAATTCTTGCCTGCTTTTTCTCATTTTTCCTCTGCTATGGTCTTAGAGGAACATGGGCCTAGGACGGAACGCTGATTCTGACTCTGGCTTGATCAGTTAGGAATGTGATCTCAAGCAACCTCTTTAAAGGCCCCAAGACTCTGTTTCCTCATTTGTTTCATGAGAAACGTGGATAATGCTGAGTCCCCTCATATTACCTCCACAACACATCTCTCTCTCTCTCTGTTTCTCTCCCTACATCTGCTCCGAAGACTCTCTTCCTTAGAGTTGTTCAAAAGCAGAAATGTATAAAGTCAGATGGCAAAAATGCTCTCTTCGTTCCAGGAAATTAGAACAGGTGAGTCGGGTCAGGCCATCGAGATAGGAGTCAAAAAAAGATGATTCCTTTTGTTATAGGGGAAAAAATCAGGGAATATCTGAAATAGATTCCTGGACATCACATAATATTAAAGATGTACATGAGAGATGGTTTAAGAAAAATAAAAAATTGTGATTATGGATTGTGTGAAAAGCTTTAAAAGCAAAAAAAAAAAAAAAGTTGTGTAAGGAGAAGCAACTGACCAGGAAGTAAAAAGCAGGCAAAGAAGGTGTCTAGCCTAAGGCCAGGCAGGATGAGGACACAATCTCTCAGATTTCCAACCACTTCATGAAGGAGTCATTAAGCACTGGAGGAAGTAAGAGAAAAACAGAGACGGAAAAGAAAGGCCTCTGAGAAAAACACAAAAGGCCCAAAATGAAACCCATCAAAAGACAAAATCTCACCAGAGGACATTAGAGACGGGTGTAAATATGGAAAAGTTAGA